AAAATATTTCCTACTTCGCAAACTTCCGCTAACGAAATACAATGAAGTGTCTTACCTGGATTGAAGAGCACCTCCCGCCATTCCTCAATTGCATGCACTAACTCCGTCACCATTAGTCCCAGCACCACTACTTCCAACACCACTATTCCAGGTAAACACACCATCGACGATAATACGACACGTGTTTCGCCTCTACACGAGGCATCCTCAGGTGATGTAGACTCTACGGCGGCTGACCGCTAAATGAGCGGCGAGCCGAAACAGCTGTCGAAACACGTGTCGTATTATCGTCGATGGTGTGTCCTACCTGGAATAGCGGTGTTGAAAGTAGTGGTGTCCCAACACCACTAGTAGTGTTGCTGGGACTAGTGGTGACGGAGTTAGTGCATGCAACTGAGGGAGGGCGGGAGGTGCTCTTCAATCCAGGTAAGACACATCATTGTATTTAGTTAGCGGAAGTTTGCGAAGTAGTTAATATTTTTATTACCATTTCCTTCTGTCACATCTTACTGCACCCAAGGGATGATAGCGATAGGGTAGCGGATTGTCTTACGCCGCCCGCTACGCGGTCAAACTAATTAATTAATTACTAAATGGTTGGAGATCAGTTTCAGGCTCAATATTATACTTATTATAAATATTAGTTACCCATAGCTTGGTATCGAGATGAAATGGTAGTAGGGTGATGCAGTACGAGAATTTCGCCCTCGAACTGCCAGCAGGCCTGCGGGTTCAGCGCGGGCGAGACCATCACCATTCCCTTGCGGATCTGCGACCGTTTTATCTGGAAGAATTATTTCAAAATTCAGCCTTTTTTTAATAAGACTGTGCTTGACCAGTCTTTCCTGGTGGTAAGTGGAATGAAGCCCATGATGGTAAATACGTTGGTTGCGGTGCGGTGCGGTGGCGCAGTGGCGTAGCAAAGGGGGGGGCGGCGGGTGCGGGCCGCACCGGGTGTCACCTTTTTTGGGTGACACCCACCCGGTCTCTCAACTTTAAGAACAATATACAAACAAACAAAAATCGCTATCACAAAAATTTCTTTTCGGAGGACTCCTCCACTAGCACTAGCTCACATTTTTTGGAACGGTAGAGACGATTTTTTCTTTTTTTTCCGCCTCCACTAGCCGTTGGGAAGTGCTTATAAAACACAGCAAATTATCTGTTAAAAGACTCTCAACAACGCGTTAGAGTGCTCATTACCGTGCAGTAAAAGCACTAGCAGAGAATTTTGAAGGACTTGTAGACGCAATTGAGGAATTGTGTGAAGGACGAGAAAATGTAGACACCAGAGGTGCTGCACGAAACCTCATGCCTGCTGTGTGCAATTACACTTTTTTATGTTACCTTTTCTTCTGGTATGAGTTCTTCGGGAAACAAATTCTGCACAGATTGCATTGCAAAGTAAAGGCTTGACTGTTGACGAAACTGATACAAAAATAGAGGCACTTCGTTTTTATATCGAAGAAAAACGGGATCAATTGTGGAAGAGGCAATAGACATTGCAACAACAAAAATCAGAAGACTACGATATTCCAACAGAAAAACGACTTCGCCGTAAAAAACAGATAGTTGGTGAGATGGCCAGCGATGCAGGACTGACACTGAAAGAGGAACTCCAAAAAGATATGTTGGAATGTCATGACCGATTCAAATTTGAAATCCAAACAAGATCGAAGTATCTTCAAGATGTAGCTTCATTGTTCGAAATCGTATAAACGAATGCTTTGCTTTTGGCGAATACTGAAGAACTGAAATTAGCTACATCTAAATTTACTGATATTTATGATGAGGTCTCAGAAACCGAATTACTTTTGGAGATACGAAGACTGCGAAGACACTTAAAAGCCGCTAATGTTACGGCTACCGATTGGGTGTCTCTAGATTTTTTAAAGTTTATTGTAGAATGGGATTTTACAGAATCTCTTCCAAATCTTATGATTGCACTGAAATTGTTCATGACGGTTTGCATGTCCGTAGCTTCATGTGATAGGAGTTTCAGTAAATTTAAATTAATAAAAAAATTATTTGCAGGCAACAATGCCCCAACCGCGGCTTAGCAATCTTGGTATATTAGCCATCGAACACGAGGCAATACAAATTATAAATTTCGATGAAGTTATTGCTGAGTTGGCAGCTGTCAAAGCTAGAAAGAAGAAATTTTAATTGTATAACAATTCCTTTTCTGTCTTAGTTATTATTGTGTTTTGTTATTTCTTCAATATTATAAATAATAAATGATCCATGTCCTTTATCATATAAAATTTAACATTCGATGGGGTGACACCACCAACTTCCGCACCGGGTGCCACGCAAGGTAGCTACGCCACTGCGGTGGTGGTGTGTAGTGTGTGGCAGTATGTGGTGGTGTAGCGTACCTTCTTGAGCGCGAAGCTGGCGGCCTGTCCGCCGCGCACCTCGGCAACGGGCATGCGCTTGCGGTGGATGTGGTGCGGTATGGTGGTATGTGGTGGTGGTGTGTGGCAGTATGTGGTGGTGTAGCGTACCTTCTTGAGCGCGAAGCTGGCGGTCTGTCCGCCGCGCACCTCGGGCACGGGCATGCGTTTGCGGTGGATACCACGCACGGCGACGGGCACGAAGCGGCCCAGCGCGTCCGGCCCCAGCAACAGCGTATCGTTCAGCCGTATCGTGCCCGCCAGCGTCGTGCCCGACACCACCGTGCCCACGCCCTGACATATAACACCTTATAGACTTTAAACTAAGCGAGTCGGGAAGGCACCTTCTGGCTTCCCAAAACTGCCTGGCTTATACAGGGGTTATTTTGCAATATATGTCAAATTCACAGAGAAGTTTCCGAATAAGTTATATAAAAAAATAGTAAAAAAAGATCTAAAATATTATGCCCTTTTTATCTTTTAAATTCAGAATGCATCGTAATACATAAAATGAACTGATTGTCATTCATAAATATCTAACGACTACTGTTTTACTACGCACGCATACATTCATAAGCGTTGTCGGTTACAAATTTAGCTACCTAGTCGCGCGTTTTTTCGCGGCCTTCCCTTCTGTGACAGTCATAGGTTACGTCGTTGATAAGCAAAAATATTTTTATTTTATTTTACTTGTTATGCAGATCCTAAGCCATTATTGAAATCATAATTTTCGTCGTGTAGTTATTGACTTAACATTAATTGTACCTTTAATTTTTTTTCTCTCATATGTTTTTAGTGTACAATAAAGTAATTTTCATTCATTCATTTATTCGTAGAAAGCGTGTCACTAACAAAGTAAACAGTAAGCAAAAACTTTGTGAATAGAATCGCACACACAGGATAATATAAAATAAATGACATTCAATTTAGGATAATTTCAAATAAAAACTTAATAATAATTTCAAATAAAATTTTCCAAAACTGCAACAACGTTATATCATTATTTATATCATCATCATAATAGCCCTTCACAAGTGCACTGCTGAATATAGGTCTCCCCCAATAAATGCCACAAAGCACAGTCCTGAGCTACCTGCATCCATCGACTTCCTGGGTATCTTACCAGATCGTCACCCCATTTAGTGGAGGGTCACCCAACACTTCACCTACCGGTACGAGGCTGCCACTTGAGAAACTTTTTACCCCATCGGTTGTCGGTCCTTCGAGCTACATGGCCGGCCCATTGCCAATTCAGCTTACTAATCCGTTGGTTTATATCTGTAACTCAGGTTTTACTGCAGATATCCTCATTCTCAGTTTATCAAACCCCAAGCAAAGCCATCTCCATAGCTCTCTGAATGACCTTGAGTGTCCTCATACGGCCAACAGTGTAGGACCGAGTTTCAGATCCATAAGTCACTACTGGCAACACGCACTGCTTGTATGTACAATCTCGTTTTCAGGTTTTGAAGTATACTTGACGAGAAGATGTGTGGTAATTTCTCGGACGCTGTCCAGCCGACTGCAATCCGTCGATAAACTTTAAACATGACCTTTGTTTTGTACATAATCACCTATCCGTTGGGAGACATTATTGAGGTCATTGAGCATGGTGCTTAGGTCTTCCAGCAATTCTGCCATAATTCTGGCTATCGTCAGTAAATCGAAGGTGAGTGATGTACTCGCCATTGACGTTAACACCGTATCATTTCCAGTACAATACCTTGAAAAACTCTTCCAATGCAGCGGCAAAGAGTTTCGGGGATATAACATCACCCTGTCTCACACATCTCTGCAGTTGGATAGGTTTCGTACTCTGGTTCTGTACTCGGATAGCCATCGTAGCCCTACCTGCCGTTTTTAAGGTGCTGGAGAGTCATTCTTAATCTAGCTCAGACTGACGTCCGGGATATCATCGGAATAGTGTCGGATAAGACTTGCTCTTAGATCGTTACTCACACTTGCGTATGGCTCCCACGATGTCGTGTACAGTTGTCCATAGAACCTCTAGATCTCACTCAAAACTTCAGGTGTCCCGGAAATGATGTTGCCACACTCAGCTTCGACAGTTGGTTCTTTCTGGCAGACAGATCTCCGGCCAAGACTTTGGAGCCCTGTATCCGCTCGATCGCTTCTTCAATACGAACTGTATTGAAGTTGCGTAAGTCACGCCGTATGTATTTGGAGATCTGTCTGTTTAATACATACAGGCAATGTATTATGAGCTTTTAACAACACACAGCTAGAAAAGCCCCTTCCATTATAAATGGGCGCGCCGATGGGTCTCTGTCTGTCCTTATCTTAAATAGTCTATTTCACCTCGGCAACTTATCTTAAATAGTCTATTTCACCTCGGCAATTGTTTTCGTGACCTTGTTGACTCGCATGTCGTCGCGCTACGCTAGGCAAGAGCATACGCTTTATCGATCCTAGACATTCACATTCACTGTCGCCGCACGCTTCAGGCAGTACGGCCGCACCGCTTATGCCGTCTTCATGTACGCGCACCGCATGGTGATGAATTCGTGAAACATCATCACCCAATCTAACGTACTGCGAGCATAGCTCTACGCTGAAAACCTGGTTAGCGTCGCTTTCTACGAGATGCTCCGCACCTTTTCTGTCGCCGCGTCCCTCGTGTTGTCATAAAATGTTATAGGTACCCACAGAAGGCATCATCGCAATGCAGCTGTTGAGTGTGGAGCGCCACCGTTTCCCATTCGAAAATCGCAGGTGAACAACTTCAAGGTTTCTGAACAAGCAATTACTCGCTGGTCCTTCGAACTTATCTATTTAAATTGAATCAGCCTCTTGACTTATCGTAAGAGAGTACCTAATAGCCAAACCGCGTGTTCGCCTCGTAGGCCTTCCGCATATACCAGATTTTTCTAGTTACTTCTCGCCGAACCAACCACCATATCTGGTTTTTTCGAGCTGCATATTTTTTACAAAATTTATTGCTTTGAGTCCCGCATTTATTTCTTTTATGGCCAGTTATAATCAAATTCACAAACGACAACTATTTTTTGTAATAGGTGGATTTACGATTACAGTACCAGATATTTTGCACAGTTTACGATGTTTTCTGTCGCTGTTAATCCGTTCGCTTAGATAGTGTCGGTACACTTGCAGGCGCACTTATTATTTATTTTGTATTGTGTTTGTTAAATAATGGTTTTTCTATTTTAAGATTAAAATGGTTTTTTATTTTAAGATTAAAATAGTTTTTCTAAAGATTAAAATAGTATTCTATTTTATATGGTAATTGTAATAAAATACGAATTTAAATAATAAACACAAGTTAGGTAGCAAAGAAACTTTCATTACGGCGCTTCGTTTTAAAATGTCAAATTTTCCTGGAGTACGCCGCACACGTCGACCATTTGTTGTCGCGGCGGCGCCTTTGAAAAGATGCGGCAAGTCAAGCTGGCGCGCCAAAAAGGCGACCGTATCTAAGCTACCAGACTATATGGGTTATTTGCATCTGTTACATACGTATATGGTATACTGGTATTGGAGGCCAAGAAGTAATTATTTTCTTTGACGGCTTATTAGCTAGTGGCTAAACATTCGATTAGTATAGCCTATAGGATTCGAATCACGAATGGAATATTTGTTTTTATGGTCTATAATTGTTTTGGGTTTAAATGTTGGTCATTCCTGAATTTATGTATATAAAACGAGAGCCAGTTGCTTATTACATCACATTGCCCAAGAATGTTCTAATAAAATGTGTAGGCACAAAAAATAGATAATGCTATAAAAATATGTATTAATGCAGTAAAAAAGCAACCTTACGAGTATAAGTTTTCTCATTTGGACATTGTTATCGTTATGTTATCTCGAGTGTTCTAGTACTTTTCTGTTGAAATGTTCTAGAAAGTTCTATATTTCTTTGACTATAAAAACGGGTGCCGGTGATCGGAGAGTAAGTTATTTCGGGAACGCGAAAGTGAACTCTACTCCGGGAAGCGACTACGAGCACCTACGACATAACCGCGATTATTAAAGACCTCACCGAATAAGCTTAGCGCTTTTGGTCGAAGTATTTATAAACTTGCTGTGTGTGTGGAAAAATACATCCATTTCTCACCCTAATCGGCATTTTGACTCAACCCGCAGGTTACAATATATTTTATAATTCTTCTGTATGTGACTGAACTTGTTCTAAACGGCTGGACTGATTTTGATGAAGTTTTGTGTGTGTGATTAAGTTGATTCGAGAATAGTTTAGATTCACTTTTGGACCCGGTAGGTGGCGCTGTTGTCGGGAACCATAAATCATCCGTGCGATGCCAGGGCGGATCGCTAGTAATCTTATTATTTTTTAATTGCGAGCAGCTGTGCAGGTCTAGGGAAAGAGACCAGTACCACTGCGACCTAAAAGATCTATTGTGATCGCTGCTATGGCTATAGTTCACTGCTAAGCCTTATGTCTTCAATGAATAGAAGGAGTTGCTTAGCCGTGAGCAATTTCACTTCTCCCTGGCGGAGTAGTTTCCCAGATGAGTGTTACGTTTGCGCATTAAGGGTCCGCAATCAGTTAGGATGTGTAGAGGCGTTTCTTCCGTTATGGAACAGAACCGACACATCCTTGACTTGCTTAGTCCCAGGATGGACTTGTGCTTTTTAAGACAACAAAGTCCAGTTAGGACTCTTGCCAGAATGCGCAAAATCTTATATTACGCATGGGATGAAATAGGAACGGTAAAATATGGTTATATAACAGAAAACTCACAGGTACTGAATAGGTGTCATCTATCTGGAACTCGGCAGGCTTATCATCTTGCGAAGGCATGCGGGTCTTCAGCAGGTTGAGGAACATGGTCAGCAGCTCGAGATTCTCGCCAGTCACGTTTGATACTTGGAAAATAGGGCACAGCCTACAAAGGAAATAGAAATTAAAGTAAAACATGCGGCGTCCCTAATATTATTACCACTATATATACTGTATAGTGCCGATGTAAGGGTTTCCTTCATCTCATTTTCATTTAAGGCGTATTATGGCTTATCATATGCCAGTGTGCCAGAAGATGTCAGAACCAGTGTTCCTCATACTCGTACAGAATACCAGCGTGAAACAGCATGTGTCATATCATTCTTAATGGAGAATATCAGGTAAATCGTGTGCTCATTTTCTTTTGAGTTTTTTGAAACAATCTTAATCCCAGAAAATCCTCGTTATATATGTATAATTTAATAATTCAGAATATAATACAATATTCGGAATTATTAAAAAATGACACATTTTATTCAAAAAAAAAAAAAAAAAAAAAAAAAAAAAAATGAAAAATTTAAAAATAGAAAAGTTTGTTTCAACCTAAGGAAAAACCTGACTATTTCTCAGAGGTTCTTTTTGGCAAATTTTATGGTGACTTGTTTCAATTCTTAGATTTCTAGAATCGATTCACAGAATGTTGCCAATTTTTTCATATTAATTTACTGCAATTATCGCTAATAGTTATTTATTTATCAATTTCAGATCAATATACATGAGCGATGAAGTTTTCTGTCTTAAGTGAAAATAAAATGGATACACTTTCATACCTCTGCGAAACAAAGTTGGTGGCGCTGACAATGACGTCGTCCTTCGTCTTCACCATTACAGGCACCTTCCTACACCCCGAGGACTTCAGAATTCTGATGAGCAGCTTCAGGTTGTCCTGTGTTATCGTAGGAAAATGTTATGCTACGAAAACAAATGTACGAGTTGCATAAGTTATGGAATGACTTTCTACATTCGTAATCCCAGAGAGTAGAAAACTATAAATATAAATTCATTCAATAATTTATTACAGTCCAGCCAGTCCAACGCTGAACATAGGCATTACCTTTTCATTTAATTGGTTGGTTTGGTAACAGCAGTTTATTATTATTTTAAGTAGTTATGAGGAAGATGCTACAGCCCATCTTTTGTTTCAGTATCGCTTTGTCACCTCTTACGAAACCTACGGTATGATAATGATTTCTTACATTTACGCGAACACTACACATTGATTAAAACTACTTATACGGATTTTATCGCGTTTAATTATACTTTTTATTATTATTATTTTTTAATTCCCGACGTTTCGGGTGCTTTCCAGCACCCATCTCAACTCAGTCCCCCGTCGAAACGTCGAACGTCGGGAATTAAAAATAAAAATAATAAAAAGTATAATTAAACGCGATAAAATCCGTAAAAGTAGTTTAATCTACGGTAAGATGTTGGGCACCGGATTCTTACGCCACCACTACACGAAAAAAACCGAATGGGAATGACATATTTCAAGTTTAAGTCACGTGACCACGTGTCAGTAGTAATGGTGGTTAATATAGCGCATAGCGTTATATTATAGCGCGCTATCTTTCCATAACGCATAGCTCGTAATATGTAACTAGTTGCCATGGCGCTATTCACATCTAGCGGCAATTAGTTCTAGCAGCAGCACTGTTGGGAGTGGACGTGTGACGCAAATTTACTCTAGCAGCACGCTATTCATCGCACGCGACCTAATGTAGTGTTAGCGGTTATTTACTTAGGGTATACTGTATATTTATAAGTAATCGAAGGACACAGTTATCTGCTACAAAAGTAGCCAACTAATGTTTTTAAATGTAAAAAATTTATTTTTGTATATACAATAAAAAAAATTTTAAATACTCTATTATTGATTTATAATTTACATTAAGGTTAAAATAACGTTTACATCGATTATAGATCATCGTAAGCCTGAAAAGTATAAAACAGTGTTCATTGTTTTTTATTGCTTTATTTTATTTTAAGACACGCGGTCTATCAAACGAACGACATGTAATGCAACGTGCTACGAAATTTAGCGTGCTGCAAAACTTTACGCGCTTGCTGGTCTTCCACACGCTTTCTTATAAATAGCGCGCTATAACATAGCGTGTTTAATAGCGTGCTAGAAATGTATAGTTTATAGTCTGTAGCGTGCTATTGACCTATAGTCGTATTGAACAACTTTAGTCAGTAGTAGTTTAAATTATTTCTACAAGCGTTAACAAATGTAGAAAGTCATCTTAGCCTACCATTTTGGTATAACTTACTTTTATTTTGGAAATCATATAAGACTGACAAATCAGCTAACAGTTGCACTGACATCCCTGTGGACTAAGATGAAATGCCTCCCAGCATGTATTGGATCTCTAACCCTGCATACTGGAACCCAACAATGGATGGCACTGTTTAGCGGTGAAAGTTCAAGTGGCTCAACTATTTAATGTTCGGTTGAATTCATAAGGAATTCATAAGCCACAAGCGTATAACCTTACGTGACGCTGTTAATATAAATTGTATGGATTTATTTAAACAAATAAAGATACAGTCTACATACGTCCCACAGCTTAGCACAGGCCTACTCTGATTTCTGAGAGGGAGATGGAGCAATTTGTTTCCAGGTCGTCACTCCACCAGATGGGGAATCGTCTAAAACTGTACTAGCTAGTACTGGCTGCCACTCGAGAACCTTTTTTACACGTCGGTTGTCAGTTTATCAAGCTACAAATCGAGCCCATTACCAATTTAGCCTACTGATCCACTGATCTATAGCATATACATACTGATGACTTTTTACCGTCTGGAAAAACGTGACGTCGTATAAATTGTTTCCGCGTTGTATCGGCCGCCCGCTGATAGTTATCGTAAACATGTACAAATAGTCTAATGTCGAGACCTAGCAATGGTGAGATTTTATATCTTGTCTGGTGAAAACTTGTCCGTCTAAACGGTGCGACGAGTTGATATTTACCCGCGTTCGAATTTACAACGTGCACAATGAGCACTGGTGGAGTTTCCAAAACCCATACAAAATCAACGAACATGTTCATCAAATTCGTTTTTGTGTTAAAATAGGGCGGCAATCATTAACGACCACATCGTTGGTCCAATATGGGTTGAATTAAAACGATTAGTGTACGCAGAAGAAGCACAGTGTTAGTGATTTAAAGCAGAGTATAATAGAAAAGTATAATAGATATAAAGACACGCTTCGACGTGCTAGTTTGTACGTGTAGTGTGTTTAGAAAGAAACGGTAGACATTTTGAACAATTACTATGATATCAAGTGTCTGAAAAGGTTTTGAAGTGAAAATTTCTTTAGCATCGTTGTGACTTGAAAGTCTATGAAAAGAAAAAGCTACATTAAAAAGACACAGACACATACATTCATAAGATTTAACGTGGGAGAAAATGAGATAGGAAGCATTATAGCTCAATGCTCGAGAGAAAAAGTCGTAAACGCCGCAGTAACGGCGTCGCTTACGCGTTTTGTTTAACAAGGTACGAAGGTGTCGTGTGCTTATGGAATAAACAAGCAGCGAAGAACTGCCAAACCTCAACTTCGTAATAGGTAAAATTGATATAAATCCTTTTGTGATTACTTAGTACTATATGAGGTATATCGAAAAGCTAATAAACATTCAAAGGGAAATTAATCTACTCGTCGTAAAAATTAGTGGATGTGTCGTACATTTAAAAGTACATTAACAATGTCAAAGATTTCTTTAGATATTTTAAATATTGTTGGATTATAATATGTCGTTTAAATAAAATAAGTAACAAAATAAATAAGTCCAAGTAATACTAATTTGAATAAAAAAGAACCATCAAAACCGGTAGTAGGTAGTTTCGTGCGTTTCCCATCTGAATGGTTCACTTTTCATAATCTATGATTTTCATATAGAAATGGCAGCCACGTGGCAGCAGCAGTAAACAGTAAAAAAAAAATTAACAAAAACAATTAACCATATAAAAAAACATTCATTAAAAATTCATGATTTCAAAAACACAGGCCATCTAGCGTCTATTTTACGTACCACCTTGGGTGTCAATCAGTTGTTCGATAAAGTGACTACCTATAGAATGAAGTAGGTGGCGCTATTATAATTTTTGAAAGAAAATATATATCTATATGTCTAATATATATTAAAAGGATTGTTACATTTATTTATTATAAAACTAAATTTTCTTATATTTTATGCCGAACTTGTAGTTTAAACTATAATATTAAATAAATCATTTGCCCTAAAGTATTTGTATTTTATATTTCATTTAATTTGAAGGTTTCACTTCTGTCGCGTATGTGAGCTGCACGCATGTTTTTATCTAAATAATAATAATGTAATATAATCTTGTAAATACAATTAGTGTAGTTGTGAATAAGTTGATTCCGATCTTTTGAATACCCAAGATGTTGCAGTATAGGATAGGCATAAAAATTATTATGAGAAATTGTTTATAAATTCATTATAATACGAGATAAAATTTAACATGTAATTCTACTCAACTACAGCATGTTGTGAGCCGTGGTAGCTCAGATGGTTACCGCTAGCTGTAAATATAACAGAACGCGAGTAACCCGGGTTCGATCTCCGCCGGCACCAATGAAATTGTTAATTGCAATTTTAAGTGTTGATTTACCACGTGCTCGGCGTGAAGGAAAACATCGTGAGGAAACCTGCATGTCTGAGGAATAAGAAAAAAAATATTTCGAAGACATGTGAAGTTCGTCAACACGCATTTGGGCAGCGCGGCGGACACTTTCTTGCCCTAAACCCTCTCAGAAATGAGAGGAGGCCTGAGCCCAGCAGTGGGACGTACTCGTATATAGGCTGTAACTTTACTTTTACTTTACTTTACTACATCATATCGCATACTTCATCCATTTTATCATTCATCGCTCCACATACATTCAACGTAGCCAGACGGGCCTCTGCAATCCACTTTTCGCCCCTCCGGGAGACAGCACGTGACGGGTGGTGAACCTCGTCACCGGTTTTCCTCCCGGAGATTCTTCGCACCCCTGCCCTGTTAAAGGGGCGCCGGGAACTCGGGGCCATTTCTTTCTTTGGGGACACTTCCTTGCCCTAAAACCCTCTCAGAAATGAGGGGAGGCCTGTGCCCAGCAGTGGGACGTATATCGGCTGTAACTTTACTTTACTTTTACAGCATATTGGACGGTTCTAAGTCCGTAAAAGTATGAAGAAAAGATCTAAATCACAAAAATATAAATCTGAAATGAATGGTGTTCGGTTCCGGCGGGAGTGGCTTCGGCTGCATTCGGTCGGCACGAACGTATGTGGCAGCCAAATAAGAAATAAGACATATCAATAAACGCCTAGTTGTAATGCACTTCATGTAATGTATCAGCTTTGTGCGTTCTACAATGCTGCTAATAATGCTGAATTTTACGTGCCATGCATTACAAAACGAAGAAATAAAGTGGGTTGTCATTAATACCGACATTGTTTGTCGTTTTAGTCAATTTATTGTAACGTCATTCAAGTTGCACGTCAATAATCTCATTCCTAAATGGTGACGTAACAAAAAACATTTAGCTGCAAGCATTGCAAAGGCATATAGCCCGAAGAACCGATAACCGATGGGGAAGAAAGGTTCTCGAGTGGCAGCCTCATAGCGGTAGGCGTAGTGTAGGGCGACCTCCCACTAGATGGAGTGACGACCTGGTAAGACATGCAGGAAGTCGATGGATGCAGGTGGCTCAGGACCGTGCTTTGTGGCATTACTTGGGGGAGGCCTATGTTCAGCAGTGGATTTGTGATGGGCTGTAATGATGATGATTACAAAGGCAAGTATTGCAGCTAGGTCTTGTTGAATACGCCTGATTTAAAATGTTGGCTGGAACGATGTGTCAGCCGCCTGTACTCGGCCGCCTGGTGCCTACAAAACGATGATGAATGTCTAACGAAAGAAATGTGCATGCGTCTCGCTCGCGCTTATAACTTTCATTCATTAGCGATCGTAGGCTATGCCGCGCCGTTTAAAATAATATTATCTATTTTTAGTTTCATGCAAAATCCGTAGGATTGTTTTTATGTATTTTTTGGATATTAGTAAATTTTGCCTATTAGTTATATTTTACAAATATTTTCGAGGATAGCTTCTATTCCATTTACACAAAACACCATATAATTTTCCAGACGGTAAAAAAGTCATCTAGTATAACGAGTCTGGCCATAAATACTGTTACATAAAAACTTTTTTTTCAACTTTTTAATTATTTTGAATTTGGAACGCGTTCATTATTTTTAAAAGTTCTTTTGATTTCGCGTCATCTCACATATTTTCTCGTGTTGATTATCAAATTACAATATGGAATGGGGTGTTAAAGAAAATAGGATTGCGGTGATCGCCTGGCACAAAGTGGGTATGGAGCCGTCGGTCATATTCCAGACACTTCAAAAGTTTGGTATCTGTATGTTCGTATATAGTTACTATCAAAAGATAAAACAACACTTTCTCTATCGAAGACCATAAAAGATCGGGGCGGTCGCGTGCTGTTAGAACTGTAAAGGCTGTTAATGCTGTTAAAGCCAGAATTCTTCGAAATCCCGATCCCGATTCCCGCTAGGACACTATTGCGTATTATAAAACAAGACCTGACAGGACAAAAGGACATCCCTAAATCAATCTTTACAATTGAAGAGAGTGGATCGATGAAAAAATTTTCACGATTGAAGAGCACTAGAATAAGCAAAATGATAAAGTATACGCTCATAGTTTTAAAGAAGCCGTTTAAGTGGTCGGAAAGGTACAACGTGGTCATGATCCTGCGTCAGTGATGGTTTGGTGGGGCGTGTCTTATCAAGGCGTCACAAAGCTACATTTTTGTGAAAAAAAAAAGTGAAAACTAGCCAAAGTGTATCAAGAGACAGTCTTGGATCGTGTTGTGAAACCTCTCAGCAATACACTTTTTAAAAATGTACCGTGTCTTCCCAGCAATACTCTGCACCTGGTCACAAGGCACGAACTACCCAAGCCTGGCTTGAAACCAACGTTCCGGACTTTATAAGAGCTGAAGACTGGCCCTCATCTAGCCCAGACCTCAACCCTTTAGACTACAAATTATGGTCAGTTTTAGAGGACATGGCTTGCTCAGACACGGCGACATTGTGTCTAAAAATCTCTGGAGCAAGCAGTGGCGAAATTTCCCATGAAAACAGTGCGTAAATCCATAGATTCGTGGCCAGACAGATTAAAGACCTGTCTAGGAGCCAAAGGTGGCCATTTTGAATAGAATATTGTTTTTATTTTTTGCTGAGACTTTAATAAATATGTACATATAAGTTTCAGTATTATTACGAGTACATTAATTCATTAAAAAAGTGCATTTTCATTTGTAACAGAACTTATGGCCGGACTAGGGATTATACAAATCAATTTTTCGTATTTACCTGCAGTACATTGGGCGGGCACATGTCGATCTTCGTGACGACCACGAACACCGGCACGGAGAGAGCCAACGCCAAACCGAGATGTTCCTTCGTCATACCCACAATACCTGCATTGGCTCCAATCTAACAGTGTACAGTTTTAATTAGGATTTTAGGAAAAACTTGCAAAATTTAGCAGGGATGGGAGATATGATAAAGATATAGAACGACGAGTGAATGCGGGAAATAGAGTAAATGGGACCCTGCACTCTATTGTGAAGAGTCAAAATGTGTCAAAAAAGGCACGTATGGCAATTCACAACGCTGTGTTGGTCCCTACTTTAACGCATGGTAGTGAAAGTAGGGTGTGGCAGAAGAAGCACGAGAGTAGAATCAACGCAGTAGAAATGCGGTCGTTAAGGAGTATGTTATGGCTGAATCTGAACGACAGGGTAAGAAATTGTGTAATAAGAGAAGTGTGGTTTGCAAGACGATGTTGTGACCAGGATTAAGAAAGGAATGCTTCGGTGGTTTGGTCATGTGGAAAGAATTAATGAGGAAAGAGTTACAAAGAAAATTTATGTTGCAGAAGTGAATGGCAGAGTCGGAAAGGTACGTCCTAGGAGAAAATTTATTGACCAAATTGGGGATTTATTGAAAACGGGCCAAATTAGGAATACCCTTAACCGACGAGCATGTATGTGTAGGTGTATGGATGTGAAGGAGGCGAGAGAGGTGTGTCAGGATCGTGCCAAATGGAAGTCTATAGTCTCTGCCTACCCCTCTGGGTGACAGGCGTGAGTATTTATGTTATGTTTTATGTTGCAAAATTATATGAAAGACCAGCGACCGGCCCGGGCTTCGAATGGATAGGATCTATTAATGTGGCGTTATTCAAATTTAAGACAATCAAATCCAAAATCAATATTATAATCTATCTGCTTTTTGGAATTCAATTGAAAAAATATAATATTCTTTACATATACATATGTAATGTGAAGAAAACAAGTTACCATAAGCATCCCAAAGTCGGGCGCGTGTCCGGTCATGCCGAAGACAGTTGTTTTAAGATAGCGCTCGTGGCCAGCCAGATCGATGAAAGTGATCACCTTCGACGACTTCTCACATATCTTCACCCAGTCTAGCGTGCCATGGTCTGGTTTGTTCACCACATTACCTGTCGGAATTAAAAAAGGAATGATGCAAAGGATATGACTTTGAGGCCTGACAGTCTGAAGTTTCCAGTTATATTTCCATTAGCTATTAATTCATGAGAGTTATTTATAGGATAAACGTTGGTCAACTGTAACTGCGTTTCTCAATACGCATAGTATCGTTTAATAACTATGAAACCTATAAATTCCATAATTTGCCACAAGATGGATCTGTTTAAAACATCGAGTTTAAAATTGATTTTATTATTTCAATTCTTCATTTATACTTGTTTTATTTATCGTAATATATTTTTCGAGTCTAAATAAGTGAATAAGGGGTCTCATCAATTACACTTGGTCGTTAGCCCTCTTTCTGGTGCACCAAAGACGTTACTCGAATTCTGGCACCCGATGCACTAGTTACTTTGTTTTTTTTTTTTAATTTATTTGGGACAACAAACAATAGTACAATGAGTATTAGAAAGAATATAAATGTTTAAATTAGAATTTGAATGGTTAGATGTACAATTAACTACGTTATCCACATCTTACTTAGTTTTTCTTAGTACAAACAAAATTAAACTTATACAATATATTTATGCATAGTAAAAGCAACATATTATTAAAGAAAAAATCCTAACATATATGTTATTTTAAGTGTAGCGGTAGTTTTTTTGGCCTTGGGTAAAGATGATGCAAAAATATCTATATCTAAAAACTTATCATTATATACTGACAACCGTCGCCGTGGTATGCGTTTGCCGGCATTAGTACGGCAAGCTCTAACGGCGAACACAGATCGTCGGCGTGCACTGCGTAAGTTATTATGGCGAGGTACTATTAATCCTATCTGGTTTAGAAGCGCTGGGCAATCAAATTTATTATGAAAAATATTAAACAAAAACATAACCTACAATAATAAACGTCTCGATCTCATTGTGACTAAGTTATATTTAACACGAAGTTTATCATAATATGAAAGGGTAAAATATTTAAGACGATAATGCATGATGCGTAAAACTTGCTTTGAACTCTTTCTATGGCTTCACTATATTTTGCATAGTAGGGACCCCATATAACGCAAGTATATTTTAATTGCGGCTGAATCAAGGACTTAAGCAAATACAAATATGTAGAAGGCTTTTTGAATTTGTTTAATGATCTCATGACAAGACCATACAGTTGATATGCTTTGCTTATAATTTTTTCTAAATGTAAATCGAAGTGGAATATTTGGTCCAAAATTACACCAAGATCTCGAACAAAAGAGGCTCTATGCAATAGTTTGTCACAGAGAGTATAGTTGAAATTTGTTTTTAGTAAAAGATATTCTAAGACACTTTGGGATACTAAGATAATTTTTATTTTTTAGATAATACATACTCAAATTATTAAAATCTTCTTGAAAAAGTAAACAATCATTTACATTTTTTATGATTTTATAAGCTTTCAGATCATCAGCATATAATAAAAATTTTGAGTACTTAAAATATTCGTTTATGTCATTTTTAAAGAGGATGAAGCGCAACGGACCAACGATAGATCCCCGTGGCACACCAGATGTTACTGTTATTGTATTGGAAGAGTGGTCATTTATAACAACTGTCTAGGTCCTATTTAAAATATATGAAGAAAACCACCTTTACAGATTGCCTCTTATTCCATTAAATGCTATTTTTTTTTAAGAAGTAGTTCATGGTCAACTTTGTCAATCGCTTTCTGGAAATCTGTGTATACAGCATCTGTTTGTATTCGATTATCGATTTTAATAAATTTTACTCGAATACGGGCAAACGACTCTGCGCCGAGTATCTCGAGTATATCGAGCTCAGTAACCAAAACGAAAGCTGGACTAGATTGCACGAAGGCGGACGTACGCGACTCCGTTCATTTACACTAAGACGTTTGTCCAAATTCCATAGGCAATCGAATACGAGCTAACGACCAAGTGTAATGGCGCCATAAAGATTGTTACAGTAATAAATGATGATAATTCCAATTTATCAGCGAATGTATGGACGACGTCATTGTTAAATTTAAAAAGGTCACTAGTTTTTTTTTGTTTCGCAATTTCACATATACTATAAAATATAATAGGTCGGGGAAAAAATTTCATATCTTTTTTAGATTCATTCATTGTGGTGGACAGAAAAACAATTGAAAAATGGCAGGAAAGTGTTTTTTACTTATTATTTTTCTTTTTCTTAATGTCCTATATGTATTGATTTTAAAACCAGTCAGATACAAACAGTACAACCAAAGAGTTTTTTTTTTCAATTTTAAACAAACAAAATACGATGAAACTTTTTTCTCCGACTTATTACAAATTTTGTTGTTGTTTTTTTGTGTATTTGAATATCAGCCTTAGTCCTAAACTGTCTCTAGATTCTGTTTGGTCCCGAAATACCGGGCTGAATGGTATAGTTAACGAAATGAAAACATGCGACGGACCCATGCTGTCGAAGCCGAGGATGTCGTTGCCGACGGAGCTGGTGCGGCCGGTCTCCAGCTCGTGCTTGTGGCGGAACAGGCGCTGGCGCGCGTGGCCGCGCCCGTTGTCCAGCTCGCCGTGCGTCAGCACGCCCAGCAGCGTCGACTTGCCCGCGTCCACGTTGCCCACCACCGCCACTCTGCGACCGTACCAAGTGCCATCTCACTCACTCACAAACACTCATCAACATTTTCACAGCTTGCACCTTAACTAAAAAATTTAGCAGTGGTTCTTAACTAGGCGCGCAGACTTAACAAAAATAAAATTACGCACAGCTGACTTCAAAAGTTTTCCCTTTCTTTAAATGTGTGTATGTTTAATTATTACACACACACACACGTGTGTATGTGTGTAATACTTAAATATATATACTGTCATTGTTAGCACAAGAGGACCATAAAAACAAATATCCGATTTAAAAACAAAGAGTCAGAATCAATAGTCTGTAAGACAAAAATTTAAGGAACTTAATTAACTTTAATAAACCTCTCAATACAATTCCGAAAATGTAATGTATGTACTCAAAAGTTATTCATTCCGTAAATACTACGAACAAACGCAAGTTAGTAGTAGTCTAGTGCCACTTTGTTAAACAAAGACAGTATTACAATATCGCACCGAGGTTCTCCTTAAGGTTAAGATTTAGCTAGGGGGTTCGGGCGATAGCAACACCACCTACCTGTCTTCGTTTGTGTACGATATATAAAAACAATTTATAATTTTCCTTTGTTATTATCATCTATCGCGAGTCAGTCAGTGTGTTTTTTGTTCATTTGTGACCTAATACTACTACAAGTAGTACAAAGTATTGGCAAATAGTAACGTCCGAAGTTCCCGCTCTGGCGATGGTTATGGATGATAGTAATTCCCAGGACAGAGATATTTGATGAACCAGTGCTAAATGAAACATAAAAATGACTTTCTAGTATTATTTATAATTAATACCAAATAAAAAAATCTATTTCTATTTCTATGGTCTATTGGCAGCACCGCAAATTTATATATGACAAACATTATCACAACGAAATTCATAAAATATGTACCTAATGGGCTAATTAGATAAATTACTTGACATGCAAGGACTTACCTAATCTCCATAAAGTCAGTATGGTCAAGCTCTGTGCGCAACAGGTATTGTCCTACGAGTCCAGAGCCACAGTCCCAGCGCCGCAGCTCCACACACGACACTCTCTCGCCGCTCACCAGCGACTGGAGCGTCGCTACAGACGCGCTGTACTCGTCCTCTGTCAGACCCTTGCCATCTGCCAATATTCATCGATATTAATTCATCACCAGATGAATTTTATTAGAAGCAAGCAAGGCATGAATGAGACTTTGGTAATTGACTGATGACGGAAGATTCATACAATATAGAATTTAAATTGTGATAGGAACCAGCAAGAAGTGTGAGGGTATCAATTATATCGGGGATATTTACCTGCCTGTCACAATGAGTATGGGTAAATCTTTAAAGAAATTCGTTTAAGAAATTGGTTTATTCTTAGAGATGTTATATCCATCAATAGATTCAAAAGTTAGAGCTAAAGTAAATGATAGGTAAGTAGCAGGTGTTCTATGCTACTTACCTATGACTTACTTTAAATGTAAAAACATTTTATTTATGTAGATAAAAATTACAAAAGCTGTACTCAGGAGATTTGCCAAAAGCATAATAATGTCACAATCAAGTCAATGGAAGCATTGGCGGAGTTGGCGGAATTTAGCGGGGAACATTTTATCTTATATTTTAGTTCCTCTCAGAAATGAGGGGAGGCTGTTAAGCGCGCGTAGGCGTGGGTTATTGATTGTGTACTTCAAGACAATGGATTATCAAATGGAATATAATATAATAGGTAGGTAATAAGCATAGAACTAAGATAAATTTTATGCCAGTACACCTAAAAGTTGTTGTTTTAGAAAATGAACATTGCACACATCAGTATATTTTAACAACAATAAAGCTTAATTTTGTACAAATGAATAATACATGTGTTAAAGGAAAGAAGTCGATTCCATTGTAAACTGTTATAAGGATTCAATAGGGATATGAAACAATGTGCATTGTGAATTGTGTCTTAAGCATTTAAAATATTCCAATTAATGTATGCCAAAAGCAGATACCAGAGATGTTATTGACAATGAATTGTACAGGATCAGAAGGGGTTAAGCAATAACTCATATTAGTACTGACATTAACTTTAATATTTTAAAGGTGTGACAAACATATACGTAAATTTAAGATGACTATTCTTAGTAACTCATTATCATAAGTTTTAATTATTTACCTTCTCCTTGTCCAATGTCATATATAATTTCTCCGTTTCCAGCCTCCAATCTTTCCAATAATTGTTTTCTCAGCAGGTCATACTCGTCAGCTGTTGGACTTACTAGAATCATCTAAAAATAAAGTGAAAATGCTAACTTCACAAGTCACATGGAAGATAAAAATATTAAATATAATTGATTGTAAAAGGAAATACTTATTTCATACTAGCAATCTATCCTAACTTCACACGGGTGATATCTCAATTCTACAACAGCGCCACCTACTGGGTCAACTATGCCTATAACCTTTGCAGAAGTGCAAGCAATATGTTGACAAAGTTCTACCGCAATCTGATGTAGCGCATAAAATACGAACAAACAAATATTGATTTTTATATATTAGACATAATATGTTGCAGACAACAATCATACGAGGGTGGATTGAAAAGTACTCGGCCTAACACAGATCCATTCAATTCTAAAAATCAAATCTAACCACATTATTTAGTTCAGTTCAGACTAGTTCATTGTGTGAAGTTCGAAACATGTGCGATAATTAGTTGTGATTTTATAAATTTATTAACAAAGTAATCGGACATAATTTCCGCGAATGGAGCAAATCGAGCAGCGTGCCGTCATTAAGTACCTCCATAAGAAGGGGCTATCATCAAAAGCCATCCATGATGACATGGTCAGTACATTAGGCGATTGTGCTCTGTCATATTCATCCGTCAAAAAATGGATAGCAGAATTTAAGCGTGGTAGAGAGAGTGTGAAAGATGAACCCCGCTCTGGAAGGCCTTCGACGGCAACTACTGACGAAAATATTAAAAAGTACTTGATTTAATAATGGGAGACCGCAGATTAAAAATTAGAGAGATAGCCGAGATTATAGGCATCTCTTATGAACGAACTCAAAACATCATTGTCAACGAGTTGGGTTTCCACAAGGTGTCTGCGAGGTGGGTTCCGCGACTGCTTTCAGTTGAACAAAAAAGGACGCGATTGACTTTAATCACGCGACTGTTTGGAGTTATTTGAAGCCGATGCAGATGATTTTTTGAATCGTTTTGTTACTATGGACGAAACATGGGTTCATTACTGTACACCGGAAACAAAACAACAATCAAAACAGTGGAGAAGACCTGGTTCACCACCCCCTAAAAAGGCTAAGTCGATTTTGTCGGCAAATAAGGTGATGGCTTCAGTGTTCTGGGACTCGAAAGGTGTGATTATGATTGATTATCTTGAAAGGGGTCAGACTATAAACTCTGATTACTACTGCACCTTACTACGTCGTTTACGAGAGGAAATAAAAGAAAAACGTCAAGGAATGCTCAGAAGAAAAGTCCTGTTTCATCAAGATAACACCCGTGTTCACACGTCAGTACAGTCAATGGCTGAAATTCACAACTGTGGCTTTGAACTGTTACCGCATCCGCCGTATTCACCTGATCTGGCACCATCAGACTTCTTTCTGTTCCCTAACCTAAAAAAGCACTTGGGAGGTCAAAGATTTTTGACAAACGACGAGGTCAAAGCAGCTGTAGACGCATATTTTGACTCTAAGGAAGAATCATTTTTTTTCAACAGTCTAAATGCTTGGAAGGGGGAGGTGGCAAAAGTGTATTGAACTTGATGGTGATTATGTAGAAAAATAAAAATATAACTGATTTAGTATGTGTTTATTTTCTTGGTTAGGCCGAGTACTTTTCAATCCACCCTCGTAACTAGCCTTTATGTTAACAGCCTAACCTTTTTACTAAATTGTGCCGTTCAAATAGCAGCTTTTTTAATTTGGTTACCTCGACAACCTTTATGAATAGAGTAGAATAAATTTTATTTAAATGTATTTAACATAATAACAAATAATCACAATTAGGAATGAGTGATGTGGTATATTAGCCCTGTGTAAGAAAGAACTGAAAAAGAGCATGAAGCACATGACATTGCCCAGTGTTGAGATAGCAAAGGTGCAGGATCTAGCAGTATGATAGTAAAGCTCTGGTGAAAATGGTGGTTGACTTTAAGCAATAAGGTGCAATTTTTTAGGGTTTAAAAGGGTAAAGGCATTTACAACACTGCAAAAGCTATGAATATTAAAAACTAGTTTGTAACTCTTAGACCAAGGCTGATCAACCGCACGCGGACAGGCCACATTATAGCTTCTGGACGAATTTTTAATGGCATGCAAAAGGAAAGTAAAAAATTCCTGCTAAATAGCCTTGATTGGATGAAAATAATTAATATCTGTTTTTAATGAGACAAAAGTATTCAAATTTGGGATTTTAACATTTAAAAACTCATAACTCCAAAAATATTAACTTTATCGAAAAAAGTCATGGGATCTTTTTCATTCGTATTTTAGCAAATAATTAAAAAAAAATCCCGTTTGAAAATAACAATTACTTGCAATTGAAAAAAATCGGTGTAAACAACATGGCACCGAGTTGCCCCTTGGCAACATGCATTTATATCATCAGTAGGACATTTTGAAAAGAATTGCATAAAAAAATTAAGGTGGTATAGTTTTTGGTACTCATGCGCCGATTCCTCCTGGACTATTGGGTGAACACTATTTTTACCGACTTCAAAAAGGAGGAGGTATTCAATTAGACTGTGTTTTTTTTGTGTGTTACCTCAGAACTTTTCTCTGAGTGAACCAATTTTGATGATTCTTTTATTATCTGAAAGCTGGTATTTCTCGTGTGTACCCATATAAACTTCATCTAGAGCTGACTAGTAATTTTTAGTTATGCTTAATAATGCATATTTAATTTATTGTTGTTCTCATTTTAATTATATTGAAGTCCGTTGGACACATTTTTTAATTTTACCACTTGCCATATTATTGCATTATAAGACAAGTAGCATGAAGTTGGACAAAGACATAGATCCAGTAGTGTGTTGCATAAATGAAGTTTTTTTTTTAAAAAAAGAGCATTTCATAGATTTTAATAGTTTTATTTTAAGAAAAAATTATCAAGTATGGAGAGATACTACCGTACTATGCTGTGCAAGGGCTTTCAAGAGTCAACATGTTAAAACATTGATTCAACTTGAGAGCAGGTATAGGAATTTTTGAGGTGATTTAGAACTTTAGAAAGTGATTTACTGAAGAATTCATCCTGGTTGAATGATCTTGCATTTTGTGTTGATGTTAAGAATTACTTAAATATTTTTGATATTTACTTCAATATCAAATTACAAATCAAAGATTGTTCACTTCTAAATATGCTTTATTTGATAAGCAGATTCAAAGCAAAGTAAAATCTGTTTTTAATTATTTAACAACAGAGAATATATTAATCAGTTTTCCCACACAAACATTTAAAGAAGAAGCTCAATATCACCACTATCAACTTGCTTGTTAGATGCTTACTATAATCATTTGAGAGTTGATTTCAGGATTTTGAGAATAAAAAACAAAATAATATACAAATTTTTATACATCCCTTCAGGTTATTTTTAAAAACCTTTTTGCCAAAAAAGTGTTTTCGAAACCACAAAAGTCTTCTGAAGGTTTTGCAGATTTATGAAAATCGGTACCTACATAGGACTTTACACTACAACAAGTGGTCTGGCTTTGCAATTTTTAAATATTTTCGGATTAAAATTTGTTTGTGAAAGGTTTTTTTTTTCAAATTTTAATTATGTAAAGAATAAATATTATATAACTTGCTACTGTCAACATCTGAATTGATGTCAAACATAAGAAACTATTACATCAGAAAAAATTTCAGAAATCTCATTAATTGAATCTATTAATCTAATATTATAAACCTTAGATTTCCTTAGATTTTGGTTAAAGATGCTCTTTGTTTTACTATTTTAATAAACAACAATTTTATTGCACAAGCTTAAAAAGTAACTAAAATAGGAACCATCAGTGGCCCGCTGTCAATGTCACCGTGCATTTAGCCCGACTACTAACAAAGTTGAGCAGCCTTGTCATAGACCATTGATATTAAGGTTATCTAATTAATACTATAAACAAACAACAAATATTAAAAACAATAAATTTATAAACTTTAGAAATAACTTTTTTAGTTTAGTTTACAATGGGCTATTTTCCACAACTCCACATCTATAGAAAGACCTTTATTATTAACAGTACTTTGTTTTTGATGATATTAAAAATTGAATGATGTAATATTTCATGCAATTGTCAACACTACAGTATGTATTGCAATATTCAAATGTATTGTGAAATACTAAGAAATCATAGGCTTGCTAAGCAGCTTATGCTATTAAGGTAATAATTAAAAGTATTTATTTAGATACATATCTTTCTTCATTAGATAAATTTAATGTTAAGGCGGTAAATATATGCGAAAAACTATTTAATTTACGTAAAAATTCCTATTTTGGCGGTACAATTGAGCAGGAAATTTAATAATGAAATTGAAATACTTTCATACCTTGCCCCTTATGCTAGAGTAGTCAGTTTCACTTTCCACAAATCTCTCAGCCTCCGATAGAGGACTTCCCTCAGTTGGCGAATCCATTATCTTATCCATGTTTCTACTATACTTTTAGAAGAAACCTCACACCATTATGCCAACAAACACTCTTTTATCAGACGCGATTACAGCTGCAGTTAGCTAAAAATTTATAATAACTAATACAATTTTTATAAAAATAAACATTACAGTCAATAATATATAATTTTCTGCTTTTTTTGTTTAAGGACTACGATAATGTTTGTACATTTTGCCTATTATATAATACTTAATTATATGTAATACAAATATCTTTTTTAATGAAAGTATTTACTACCAATCTCACATTGATATCAATTAAATCGTGCTTGTAAGTTGTAAGTTATGAAAATAGACACCAGCAAAATACAACAGATGGAATTTATGCCAACTTTTTGACAACTCAGCATTGTTGTTGTTACGACACAACAATTAAAGTAACAAAGTCTTTTACCATACAGCCTAGTCTGATTTGAATTTTTTAACAAAAATCTTCATAATATGCGAAGTTCTTAGGGCAACTTAACCCAATGGTATGACAGTAATTGATGACGATATTATCTCTGGACCCCTGAGTTCTTCACCTGAAATGTAATATTAAATCATTCAACATAGTCTTAATTGTTGCAGAATATATTTTTTATTGTTACCGCCCATTCACTGCTTTTAAAATCTGGAATTAAATTGTTTTTAACTGTATTTACCTTTATTATGTACCTTAAAAAAAAGTTTTATTTTGGACATTGATACATATGGGTTAGCAGTGGCGAAGCAAGAGCTCCAAGCTAGGGCAAGCCCAAGATATAAATTGATAAAAATATAGATTGTTGTTTTTAGCAGTTTTATAAAAATACACCAATCTTGATCTGTCTCCACGCTTCAGTTTCATATTCAGTGCTGTCAAGGACATGTTTAACAAAGCACACAGAAGGCATACCACTGCTAGATAGATTATATTACATATGAGCAATTGCATAGCTTCGGTGGCTTTGAAGAAAGCCGTTTGGGTTTGTATAAGCGAAAGAAAAAAATATTTACATCCAATACAATACATGAACAAAAGTAAAACACGAACAAAGTACAAACAAACTATGTACAAAATTAAAAAAAAATTATTTACATTCTAATGGATAAGAGATAAGATAAGTGGAATCGTCTCGCTTTCTTATGGAAAGATTTAATTACGTCCACGTAAAATGTTGGTGAACGTTTTAACTGTACCAATAACTGTTTTTAATTGCGATAATTGATAAGTCTGAAATACACTCTTAACCTTGTGTATTATCTCAACAAAGTTTAAAGATTTCCTTTCCGATTATCACTTTAACACACTTCAATTCATCATAAGGAACACTATAATCCTCCATTTTCATTAAAAATCTTTAAAAAAGCATAAATTTTAAACTCGTAATATTAAATCGCTTAAGATAAGCACACAGAGTAAATAAACATTGAAACGTGAAATGAACTTCCAAACGTATTGCCCGCACGCCTCCGCTTTTAACAAATTTATTCCCAAAAGCCTGGCTTTAAATCTCTATACTAATTGCTATATATACAATCGTAGTTATATTTCATTATAGAATATTTTGCCATAAGTTAGAAAGATAGCGATCGTCTTCTCGAAAGCCCCGTAAAAAAGCCCACGCGAGCGAGGGAGACAACTATTAGCTCTATTAAAACTCATTTTTTATGATAGCAGCAGTATCGCTAAGGCAATACGAGGTCATCGGTCGACATGTGTCGAACAGTGGAGTGCGCGGGAAATTTGAAATAGCTTGAAACATTTTACGAGTTATTTTATTAGTTGATATTATTGATTGATATTATTGATTGATTCAGTTTTAATAAGGCAAGCCCGGCTTTTCGGCTTTTATGGAAGCTTCGCCACTGTGGGTTAGGAATAAAAAGGATCTAATACTATAATTATTAGTAGCGGTTGCCCGCGACTTCATCCGCGTACAATTTCTGATTTCCTAAGAAATTATGCTTGCTGCAAAAGGCCTACCTATATAAAGGCTATATAAAGCTTATGCAAGTAATAATTACAAGTTGATGATGCAGTAACGTTATGTTATCCCGTCGAGTTTTAAATATCCTTAAAGGCAAAAGTAATCACCGGATGTGTTCAAGGGGAAACAATATTCATACCACAAATACTTAAATACCATCAGTATAACACTTTAGTTTCACTTTCCTCACTAATTCTATGCGGATCCACAAAATGTTGTTCATCTTTTGACGACATTTTTATTGCTTCTTTGTTTTTGGCCTCCATGATAATAAATAACATGTTTTAAGGAATGTTTGTTTTTATTTAAGAACCTCTTTGCATACAACATTTATGGCACGGCTCTCGTGTGTTAAAATTAACGGACTACTTACTACACTTGTCGTGTAGTGGCGGTTAAGGACATCCACTACCCCATAACTTCCCGTGGGTGTCGTAAAAGGCAACAGAGGGAAAGGGCAGGCAGGAGATGGGCAGCAGCATCTTCCTGATAACAGCAACTATATAACAAAAAACTGCGGTTGCCAACCCGCTCGCCAAGCGTGGCAACTATGGCAATATACCCCCCATGATGAGAGTTACGAAGAGAAGGCCCCCCGGCAGCCCCGCTATGCCTGGCTATGGTGGTAACCATGGTAACGGCGGGGCTGAGGGTGCTAAGAATCTCCGGTGGAGTTTCGTTGCCACCTAAAACGACTCAAGCTGGCAACATACAACTCACGCACCCTGAGGACTGACGAGAAGATTCTGGAGCTGGAAGAAAAGATAAACAAGTTGCATTGAAATATTATAGGATTATCTGAGGTCCGAAGAGAGGGGGGAGGTCACGGTGATTCTCGAATCCGGCAACTTGTTTTATCACCTGAAAGAGCGACCATCTGTCCCAAGGAAATGTTGGATTTATCGTCCACGAGTCGTTAACAACGTTGTAAAGACTGGGAGTTTGTCGACGAGGGTTGCGTACCATATAATCAGAATCAACAAACGGTACTGGTTGAAGATCATACAAGTTTACCCACCAACCTTGCCACATGCCGATGAGGAGGTGGAGAAAATGTATGCGGATATTCCTTAGTCATGCATTCCACCAAAACCCACTATACGGTGTTGATGGGTGACTTCAACGCAAAACTAGGCAACAAGAGAAAGCGGTGAGCTGAAAGTAGGGAAATTTGGGATAGGGCAACGGAACCCAAGGGGCCAGTAGCTGGCAGAGTTCATGGAGAAATAGGGAATCATTATGATGAACTCTTTCTTCCAGAAGCGACTTTACAGAAAGTGGACCTGTTCGAGCCCCGATGGTTCGACAAAGAACGAGATTGACTTCATTATGAGGACCAGACACCAACTGTTCAGTGATGTCTCAGTGATCGCAAGGGTGGAAACAGGCAGCGATTACCGAATGGTTAGAGCTGAACTGAACTGAACTGAACCTAAATGTTAAGTTGGAGAGGTCTCGTCTAATCTCAACGCTCCGCGTTCGTGTACGCGGGACGCATCCCCCTCTGCTAATCCAAAATCCCGTAACCTTTCAGCTCGAATTACAAAACAGGTTTTCAGTGCCTAGAAGACTGTGATGCAGTGGACGATATGAATGTGAAGCTCGTGGAAACTGACCATGCGATCGGAACTAAGTTCTGCAAGACCCGCCACAAAAGAACACAAAAACTCTCCGATCACACTCTTAATCTCATGGATGTTAGACGCGAAATGAAGCTGCAGTGATCAGAAGATTTGACAGAATACAGGCAACTGAACAGACAGATCTCCAAATGCATGCGGCGGGACTTACGCAACTTTAATACTCCTTGTATTGAAGAAGCGATCGAGCCTAACCAGGGCTCCAAAGTCTTTGCCAGAAATCAGTGTGTCAGAAAGAGCCAACTGTCAAAGCTGAAGACTGAGTGCGGCAGCATCGTTTCCGGGACACCTGAGATTTTGAGTGAGATTGAGAGGTTCTATGGGCAGCTGTACACATCATCGTTGGAGTCACACGCAAGTGTGAGTAACGATCCAAGAGCAAGTCTTATCCGACACTATTCCGATGAGATCCCGGACGTCAGTCTAAGCGAGATTAGAATATCTCTCCAGCGCCTTAAAACCAGCAAGGTCCCGAGTGAGGATCGAATTACAGCGGAGCTTCTGAAAGCGGGTGGAACACCGGTACTTAAACTTTAACATGCGGGTCCTCACTTACCTAGATTACTTTCTACGTTTTATAACGTATGTATATCGCATTCATACTTGCCCGCGGCTCTGATGAGAACTGTGGTGGTGCCAATTGTAAAGAACAAGACTGGGGAAATATCTGATAAGTCAATCAGAAAAAAAGTCAAAAGTCTGAAAGGCGAATCTCACTTGCCACGGTTGCTGCAAAGGTGCTTGACAGTTTGCTTAACGCCCAGCTTGATGAACAGAGTCGGCTATATTATGTTTGAAGCAAACTGTGAAGAACTATTCGGTTAGACGAACGCCTATTTATGCCTGTTTTGTGGACGTTCGACCTGTTAAATTACGATATCCTATGGCTTATAAAGCTTGAAAGAAATTGAAAGAAAAAAATTGAAAGATACTGGACTGCCCAAAGAAGTTACTAGGATCTTCAAATTTTGGTATCGAAACCAGGTCAATGTCGTGCGATGGTTCGAAACCTATTCACAGCCATATAGGTTGGAGTGCGGGGTACGACAGGGGGGCTTAACTTCCCCTAAGCTCTTCAACCTTTACACATGTCGGTTGTCATGTTGACGGGGTATGCCTCAACAACATCATTTACGTAGATGACATGGTGTTGCTGAGTGCTCCTGTTTGCGGCTTGGCAAAACTGTTGAGCATATGTGAAAGCTACGCCCGCAGTCACGGATTGATTTATAGTCAAGAAAAGCGAATGCATGGTCTTTCAGGCTAAAGGGAAAGCCTTGCCCTCATATGTACCACCCATTAACTTATACGGTACCCCGTTAAGAAGGGTGTTTCAGTTTAAGTACCTGGGTCATATGATATCCTTTGACCTGAAAGATGATGCTGA